TCACAGTGTGAATCTGAACTGATCGGAGCTTTTTCACATTGTGAATATTAAAATTTGAAATATTTACAGTCTAGATTTCAAAATTTATTACAAATTTGGTCCAAAATTTACACTTTTTGCCCAATTTTTAAAATTTATTACAAATTTGGTCCAAAATTTACCCTTCTTACAACTTTTTTTTCTCAAAATTTTGTTTCGAATATGTTTTTTCTTTATAAAATTATATTTATACAAACAAAAAAACATATTTTCACATAAAAAATCTTATTATTTCTATATAAAAACTTTTTAAAAAAAATGTTTTTTGTATACGAAATACCTATTTAGAAAAATAGGTATTTATTAAGTACATAAATATATACACATCCGTTTTTATAAACAAATGTTTATAAACATGTATTTTACAAAAAAAATAAATGTATACAAACACCTATTTTATTATAAATACATTTGTATGCAAACACATATTTATAAAAAATGTAAAAAAACATCTATTTCATAATAAGCGTATATTTTTTTATAAAATCAGTTTGTATACATTTCTTTTATAAAAACGTGTTTGAATAATTTTTTATATAATATGTGTTTGTATACATTTTATATATAAACATGTTTGAAAGGAAATGCATTTATTATACAAACACTTATTTGGGTGCATATAAATATGTTTTTACAAAAGAAAAATATATACATTTACTTTGAAATAGGTGTTTTTTTTACATTTTTTTTTATAAATATGTGTTTGCATACAAATGTATTTATAATAAAATACGTGTTTGTATATTTTTTTTTTATTTGTAAAATACATGTTTGTATACATTTTTTTTTATAAAAACGGATTTGTATATATTTATGTACTTAATAAATACCTATTTTTATAAGTAAGTATTACGTATATAAAAAAGTTTTTATGTAGAAAATATAAGATTTTTTTATGTGAAAATATGGTTTTTATGTATAAATATGATTTTATAAAGAAAAAACATATTCGAAACAAAATTTTGAGAAAAAAAGTTGTAAAACAACTAAAGTTAGGATGAATTCATAACAAAATTCTAAAATTTTGGCAAAAAGGTTAAATTTTGGACCAAATTTGTAATAAAATTCAAAATCTGAGCCAAAAGTGTAAATTTTTGACCAAATTTGTAATAAATTTTGGAAATTATGCCAAAAATGTATTTTTTGAAAGTTGGATGACCTGTTGACCGGGTAAAATGGTTAAATTGAATACGATTACTAGTTTTTGGGACTTAATTGAATAAAAAAAATATATAATGACTAAATTGATTATGATGTCAATATATAAGAATTCTATTGCAGTTATATAAGATGTAAATTATAGATTTGTTTTGGGGTTTCCTAAATTGTACTTTTGGTCCAAGTACTTGAACATTGAAATGGTTGGTCTTTAGGCATTAAAACTATTATTTTAAGGTTTATGGATCCCTACCCACCCACTGCCACAAGGACCAAGACTATATTATTATTATTATTGTTATTATATATATATATTAAAGTTATGAAAGACTTTAACAGTAAATTGGCACTTCTTTTGTCAATTTTGGTCCTCCAACTTATAACATTGACCCTTCACCTTTATGCTTTTGTTCACAAACAACCCTTTCACTTTGGTTTGAATTTTTCATAACCCTCGCATTTTATTACATATTATTAGTATTTAGTCTTTTGGCATAAATGGTCCCTCATTATTATTATTATTATTGTTAGACAAAATTACACGATTGGTCCCTGTGGTTTACCAGATTTAACACAGTGAGGACAACGATGGAAACCGAAATCACTCTTTTACTCCTAATCCAATTTTTTTTATTAATTTAGGCACCTTTTTTGTCATTTTTGGTCCTCCAACTTATAACATTGACCCTTCACCTTTATGCTTTTGTTCACAAACAACCCTTTCACTTTGGTTTGAATTTTTTCATAACCCTCGCCTTTTATTACATATTATTAGTATTTAGTCTTTTGGCAGAAATGGTCCCTTATTATTATTATTATTATTGTTAGACAAAATTACACGATTGGTCCCTGTGGTTTACCAGATTTAACACATTGAGGACAACGATGGAAACCGAAATCACTCTTTTACTCCTAATCCGATTTTTTTATTAATTTATATTTCTCTTTTTGGTTTTAAATTAATGTTTTATTTATTAGATAATATCCACCCAATACCATAAAGCCACCCACCATCTGCCATCACCACCACCACCACCACCACCGCCAAAATTACATAAATGGTCCATATGGTTTACCCATAGTCACAAATTCAGTCCCTACTACCTGAAAAGACCAAATTACCCTCACATTAACGGACAAAAAGCAACGGTTTATATTTTCCGGATTGGTTTTCCGGCCGCTGCCATACATGGCAATAAAGTTCAATTTGTGAGACCATTTCTTTAGTTTCCTCATTTATTGCAAGAAATAATGATTTAGATTTATTTACTTATGTAATTAGATGACATTGTTTATCTTCCTTTACTAGATTATCTCAATGCAATTCAACATGATACTTTACTTTACAAAGCAATATCTTCCGACCCCGGCAACGCCGGGGAATCTTTTCTTGTTATTATTATTATTATTTAACCATATTTTCCATCCATATTTGCCATCGGTTGACAGGGATGGACCTAGGGGGTCCATGGTGGCACCGACAACCCCTAACTTTTCCGGTCGTAGTGGAAAAATTTTCGAAAATTTTCGAATTTTTTTATTTTTTTTTAGTACCGTGCAACCCCTGATTTTCACGTACAACCCCTACTATGAAATCTTACGTCCGCCCCTGTCGGTTCACCCACCATCCCGACCTTCACACACTTCAACCCATGCGGAATTGCGAGCCACATCATCATAAATGACCTCCTGATTAATGGAGTCAACCACGTAACATCAACATTTTGAAAGAGAACATGAAAATTAGTGGCAAATGATAAATAAAAAAAAAAGTTAGCGCTTTTCGTAAACCTGAGACTTAAAAGTTGAAACTTTTATAACCTTAGTCGTTATTCTTTTGGTGTTGCTGGGGCTTTATTATATTGTCATGAGGTTGAATTTCATCAAAATCAAGTAGGAACTTTATTTTACGTCCAGTTTTCTATGTAGATGTATGTTTAAATCAGCAACTAACTTCATCAATTTTGCATGAACGTTATGGTCCTAATGGATTCAACCAATTCAACTAGGTGAAATCATTATTTGTATAACTATAGACCTTATTATTTTGGCGTTGCTAGGATTATTATAATTGTGATCATGTTTAATTTCGCCAAAATCCAATACTAAGCCAATAACTAAATTGGTATATTCTTATAGCTAAAAGTAAAGTCG